CTTATCTCTTGTCACGAGAGCAAAATATATTTTCATCTAAAATAAGTATCTAATTAAATACGAGGGTGGATTGAAAAGTACTCGGCCTAAGCAAGAAAATAAACAAATACTAAATCAGTTATATTTTTATTTTTCTACATAATCACCATCAAGTTCAATACACTTTTGCCACCTCCCCTTCCAAGCATTTAGACCGTTGAAAAAAAATGATTCTTCCTTAGAGTCAAAATATGCGTCTACAGCTGCTTTGACCTCGTCGTTTGTCGAAAATCTTTGACCTCCCAAGTGCTTTTTTAGGTTAGGGAACAGAAAGAAGTCTGATGGTGCCAGATCAGGTGAATACGGCGGATGCGGTAACAGTTCAAAGCCACAGTTGTGAATTTCAGCCATTGACTGTACTGACGTGTGAACACGGGCGTTATCTTGATGAAACAGGACTTTTCTTCTGAGCATTCCTCGACGTTTTTCTTTTATTTCCTCTCGTATACGACGTAGTAAGGTGCAGTAGTAATCAGAGTTTATATTCTGACCCCTTTCAAGATAATCAATCATAATCACACCTTTCGAGTCCCAGAATACTGAAGCCATCACCTTATTTGCCGACAAAATCGACTTAGCCTTTTTAGGGGGTGGTGAACCAGGTCTTCTCCACTGTTTTGATTGTTGTTTTGTTTTCGGTGTACAGTAATGAACCCATGTTTCGTCCATAGTAATAAAACGATTCAAAAAATCATCTGCATCGGCTTCAAATAACTCCAAACAGTCGCGTGAAATAGTCAATCGCGTCCTTTTTTGTTCAACTGAAAGCAGTCGCGGAACCCACCTCGCAGACACCTTGTGGAAACCCAACTCGTTGACAATGATGTTTTGAGTTCGTTCATAAGAGATGCCTATAATCTCGGCTATCTCTCTTATTTTTAATCTGCGGTCTCCCATTATTAAATCATGTACTTTTTTAATATTTTCGTCAGTAGTTGACGTCGAAGGCCTTCCAGATCGGGGTTCATCTTTCACACTCTCTCTACCACGCTTAAATTCTGCTATCCATTTTTTGACGGATGAATATGACAGAGCACAATCGCCTAATGTACCTACTGACCATGTCATCATGGATGGCTTTTGATGATAGCCCCTTCTTATGGAGGTACTTAATGACGGCACGCTGCTCGATTTGCTCCATTCGCGGAAATTATGTCCGATTACTTTGTTAATAAATTTATAAAATCACAACTAATTATCGCACACGTTTCGAACTTCACACAATGAACTATTCTCAACTGAACTAAATATTGTGGGTAGATTTGATTTTTAGAATTGAATGGATCTGTGTTAGGCCGAGTACTTTTCAATCCACCCTCGTATAAGACTTATTCGTTTTGCATAGCTGATTACCATATAACACATGACTCCAAATTAATCTAAAAATAACTTTTATGGAATTAACTCTCGACCGGGGAATCGAACCCCGAACTTTCGTTCGATAATATATTGAATCTATTTCCTTTTAACATAGATTATTTCTTTATTCGAAGTGCCTTATACAATTTAATAGCAATATCTTCAAAACACGAAATTGTTTATTTTTTATGAAATAAAAAATATTAAACTATTTTTTTAAGCGATCTGCCCCGGCTTCGCACGGGTGTATTCTGGATCTAGACAACAGCGCCACCTATCTAAACCATCCAGGGACCCACTCAAACGCATTCAAAAATTTCATCAAAATCGGCCTAGTCGTTTTCGAGTTCTTACGAAACTAACGGACAGCAATTGACTTTTCTATATAGACATAACCCTTTTCATATTTCATAATCAACACATAAACATTTGACTCTTCACTCTTGACTCTCTCTGCATCCATTGTCTTCCTGCGGGGCTAGCATGGGTTTTATCCACCCTTCGAGCATGGGCACACCGGTGGATATTATATCCCCAGCAGATAAAATGGGAGATAGACTTAGACTTAGATAGATTTTTTTTGTATGAATATAAGCTAAAACCCACGTCCAATGAACTGGGATAAAATTGTCCCTTTCAAATTTCAAAAAAGCATAATTTTTTATCTTTCATTCGGCTCGATGCTACGGACGGGGGATATATGTCTACTCGTTATGTCAAACGGGGATATACTTCTCCCCGTTGCCGTGCTTTGGCATAAGGACAAGATAATTTTATATCTTGTCAGTGGATATAATGGGGGGATGAATTTTTTGTCCCAAGCCCATGCTAACAGTGCTGCATCTCTCGGCTGGTTGTTACACCATCTAGTGAGGGTCGCACATCGGTTTATTTAATTCATTGTATGTTTTAAGTTAGTGTTAATGATGTAGAAAGTTAATTGGCTAAGCCTGCTGCGCAGTATTAATTTTTTTTATTCATTTAACAACATCGCAATTTTTTATTGTGTAGTGTCACGGTCACATCGGCCAAATGAGAAGGTCTCCATCTAAAGCAAAATTGTTGTGAAGATTCGTTTATATCACATGTCAGTGTTGACAGTTGTTAGTCACCAAATTCATCTACATATTATGTTGGAGTAGTAGGTATAAACTTTATGAAGGTCGATGAACTGTAAACGTCACTGACCTAAAGTTGTCGAAATTGAATGTTCAATACAGCAATAAAATTTACGTTTGTCATATAAAGCATACATCAGACGAAAAGAACATACTGGCAAGTTTTTAATTTTTTTTTGATGTCAAGCGTGATGTGATACTGACACATGCACAGGCCCCCTCTTATTTCTAAAAAGGTTTTAGAGAAAAAAATGTATTGCCGGCCTTCACATGTCTTCGAAAAAAAAAAATTTTTATAATTTCTCAGACATGCAGGTTTCCTGATGATGTTTTTCTTCACCACAGAACATGTGGAAAATCAGCACTTAATATTGCAATTAACAATTTCATTGGTGCCTGCAAGAATCATACTCCGGTTGCTCCTGTACTGTGAATTTCATACCGAGCGCTTAATCCCTGAGCTAAGTAGTATGTCATTTAGGATAGTTTAAGCTAACTGAAACTAAATCCTAATTGTTAATAAATAATCCTAAAGTTATACTATGGAAATTATTCGTCAATTACAGATAGGCACTATAGGTTTTTTTTTATAGGATAGGGTGACAAACGAGTACAAAGTCCACCTGATGGTAAGTGGTTGCTGTGGCCCATAGACATCTACATTTATCCTCGTTTGCGAATCAAAATACAGATGCGTTGTCAGCCGTGATAACTAAGATGGAATGCCTCTTTTCCAGTAAAAAGGGTCTCTGGTTCTCTACACTCACACTACGAAACACAGCAGTGTTAAGCTGCTATTTGACGCTGGTATTCTGTGAGAGGCTAAATATCCTTTGTCTTTAATTCTATCATAATATTTCTGAATGCTTTTTATTTCACAACCATGTCACGGTCACAGTCTCTGAAATTACGTGATAATGACGCATTCAAGGTTAAGTTTGGGTGATGTCGATTTGTAAATTTTTTCATTGTTATTTTATAGGAGAGTCGTTACTAAGCCACCATATGTGTTTTTTTAACTTTCCCTCGTCAATTTATTAGTTAAGACTGTCTGAAAGACAAAGTCCTGCATAATTTTCTACCGACTTCAAAAAGGAGACGGTACTCAATCTGTTTTCAAAATGTTTTTTATTTATGTGTTACCTCATAACTTTTTACTGGGTGAAGCGATTTCAATGATTCTTTTTTTGTTAATTTGAAAGCTGGTGCTTTACATGTGGTCCCATATAAATTTGAACAAGGTCTGACCAACAGTTTTTGAGTTATTCTTAATAATTTATGTTGAAGTTGGTTGTAGAAATTTTTTAATTATTTCATACCTCTTCGTTAGTAAGGATGATTTACCGTAATTACTACGCTTGGCATCCGAATTGGCTCCCAGCACCTGGTTTTTGGAAATCGCGACACTGTGTTAAATTATAATATATTTTGTGCTAACTTTAGACAATATTCGAAATTTGCAACTGTTCACGAAATTGTTTAGACGGACGTTACATAATATAACCCATAATATCATTTGTCTTGCTATATAATAAGTATGTAAATTGTAATGGCTTCCATCTTTTCTCCGAATATATATATTTTTTTTATAGGATCGAGTGATAAACGAGCATACAGTCCACCTGATGGTAAGTGGTTGCTGTGGCCCATAGACATGCCTCTTATCCAGTAAAAAGGGTCTCCGGTTCTCTACACTCACCATACGAAACACAGCAGTGTTAAGCTGCTATTTTACGCTGGTATTCTGTGAGAGCGTGGTCCTACCCCGGTCGAGCCGACCCATTCGTTCTACAACTGTACTATTAATATAGCTGCAGCATGGCTCTATCACGTATAATATATTTTTGGGTCTGGCAATTTTTGTCATAATTGCCGTGTACGAAAGCTCATATGAGTTTCTTATCCCTTGCGTTGCCACGCTTAGTGTATTAGCAACTGCAGATTATTTGTTATTATGAGCTATGATCAGAAAAATGCTGCAACATTATGCTGCTGAAATAACAACATAATATTGGTGGTTTTGACAGATGCAATATTCTCGTTCAATGGCAATGATACTTCAGTGCCTTCAATTTTTTTAAAAGGCTGACAAACGAGCACACAGTCCATCTGGATGGTAAGTGGATGCTGTGGTCCATAGACACTGCATTTATTCTCTATTAAGAGTCGAAATGCCGATGCATTGTCACTCCTGAGGACCAAGTTAGAATCCCTGGTTTCCAGTAAAAAGTTTCTCAACACTCACCATACGAAACACAGCAGCATTTAGCTACTATTTTACGCTGGTATTCTGTGAAAGCGTGCACCTACCCCGGTCAAGCCGACCCATTCGTGCTACAACCATAATATAGCTTCTGGGTGTGACCACGTGTGTAAGGAAGGTTTTGCCGAGGTCACGATTTTTTTTCTACTGTAGCAATAACACTCACTATCCACAGAGTTTAAATGTATTTTTGTACAGTCATATCAATTTCATCTTCACAGGTCCTAAAGTTATATCGAAGACTTTGACAACAGAATGTATAGAAGAAATCACTCAGGTACTAAGACGACCGCCGGTCATCTGGGACAATTTGCATGCGAACGATTACGACCAGAAAAGGATATTTTTAGGTGAGTAATACGGTTTTTTTTTTATTACGTGATCTGTTATTTTTACCCGACTGCCACACGAGTGTAATGGTTTTTGATTCATAATCGAAGATAAATATATATGTCTGTGGATCACAGCATCCACTTACCATCAGATGGACTGTGTTCGTTTTAGCTTTGAAATATTGTGCTCACGATTCATGCAGCTACTAGCTTCGGAAACTGTCGACACGTTTGAAAATCGACTATTAGACCCTCATTTTTAATGTTCCCAGGGCCTTATTGCGGACGATCGCCGGAATTGATCCCGTTGCTTCGAGGTGTGCTAACCAACCCTAACTGCGAATACAACGCAAATATGATCCCGATATGGACTCTGGCTCATTGGGCGAGCTGCAGTCTCGACGCGCCTGCGCATAGTAAGTTATTGTAAAATGACTGTAAACAAAGAAAAAAATGCTTTTTCACCTCTGAAGAGTCTGGAGATCCTCACAGTCTGTAATCAAACAAAATCCCAGAAAATATACAAAATTTGACCTCCTCAGAGTTCAAAAACTTTATTAAACAAAGTTTGTATAAAAGGGTTTTATAATATTAAGGAATTTATGGATGATAGGTATATTTATATGTAATACAATTAACAATACAAAAAAATTAGAAATAGCTTGGTAGCGAAACCTCATTCCCAAGGATTATTTTCATTCATGTATTCCTTGATATTATAATAACCCTTTTTGTACAGTTTTTCTTTAATAAAACTTTTAAACTTGTTTATTGACAAAGTAAAGGCTTTTGTTGTAAAGGCGGCATACATTGCCCCATAAATGAATTACTGATTCTGTGGAGTCTAGTTACTGGCATGGCATCACAAGCTTATGTTTGTTCCTAGTGTTTAAGGTATAAACATCCTTATTGTTATTAAAGTTATTTTTGTTTTTATGCCAAAGTTAATATGTTTATTTTTTTTAATTTTTCTCTGAGTGTCCCTTTACAGTTTAAGTTATAAATCGCACGTACGTCTTTTTTTTGCAAAACAAATATGGCTTCAATATCAGTCGCATTACCTCATAGCAAAATTCCATAAGACATTACGCTATGAAAGTAACTAAAATAAACTAATCTAGCTGTCTCAACATCTGTGCGACTTCTGATCTTTCTTACAGCATATGCTGCAGAACTAAGTCTGCTTGCTAATTTAGATATATGGGGGCCCCATTGAAGCTTCGTGTCAATAGTAATACCAATAAAAACAGTGGTATCCACAAGACTCAGTATTCGAATGTTTAACATAATTTTTTTTATTATGTATTGTAAATTTAATACATATTTGTCTTATTGCCGTTTAAGAGCAAATTGTTGGCGTTAAACCATTGTACTAATGTCGATAGGGCATAATTTACATCGTCATAATTAATTAACTGCCGTTTGAGTTTGAAAATTAAAGAGGTATCATCAGCAAATAATACTATATCGTGATTGTCCCCTACAAGGGAAGGTAAGTCATTAATATAGATTAGGAACAGGAATGGGCCAAGAATCGAGCCCTAAGCAACGCCCATTTGATACTACTGATCCAGAGGAACTTTTACCATTGATCACGACCCTTTGAGTTCTGTTACTAAATATGAAATAATAAGTCTAAGCGCAATATTTTTGACACCGTAATGTTGTAGTTTTCTGATTAATGTCTCATGTTGAACACAATCGAAAGCCTTGGAAAGATCACAGAAATTACCTGAGGCATCTTGTGAATTCTCCCAGGCATTAAAAATATATTTCATAAGTTCAACACCGGCGTCAGACGTCGGGCGACCACTTGTAGCCCATTCATCATTCATTGTTATCCCTTATTTTTAAATGGGTTCATAGATAGTTTAGATTCACATTTGGACGCGGTAGGTGGCGCTGTTGTCGAGATCCAAAAATCATCCGTGCGAGGCCGGGCCGGATCGCTAGTATAGAATAAAAAAATTACTGTTTCTGTTTGATATCGGCAGTATGAACGTTGAATCAACTATGAATGTTTTATTTTACTTAATTTAATGTATTTATAATACATATTGTTTAATCATTTTAACTTTATGTACTCCTAATCTATATAAACTATGCCAAATCTCACACAACTCCGTGCGCAAAGTTGCCATTCACATATTAATTCACATATCTCCATGTGAGCCATGCTACAGCTATATTAGTATTATAGTTGTAGCACGTATGGGTCAGCTCGACCTGGGAAGGACCACGCTCTCACAGAATACCAGCGTAAAATAGCGGCTTAATGCTCCTGTATTTCGTGTGGTGAGTGTAGAGAACCGGAGACCTCTTTTACTGGAAATGAGGCATTCCATCTTAGTCCTCACGGGTGACAACAAATGAAAATCATAGTCGAGTGTGGATGTAGATGCCTGTGGGCCACAACAACCACTTACCATCAGGTGCACTGTGTGCTTATTTATTACCCTTATCCTATTAAAAAAATTATGCATAAATTGTGTACAATAGTTTATTCAATAGTAACATGAGGTTCCTATTAAAGTGGAAGCTGTTTCCTGGGATATCAAGCTGGAACGCGAGGGTGAACAAGGCGTCTGTGAAGACGAGGTCCCTCTCACTCTCGGCAAGCATGTGTACCACCATCGACAAGCGTTAAGGTAAACCAAATTCAATATTTGGACAAACAATATTATTTAATAATTATATATTTGTTTAGTTTCTTGAAAATTGCCAAAATAATTTCTGCTAACTGTATACTTTAATTGCGATTAAGTTATCACATTAAATAACACAACAGTATTTACTAAATACAAGTTTATAATTTTATTAAGAAAATCTCTCCGACTTGTAGATATATAATTCAATGACGACAGTTTTTATTTCTGCGTCTTGTAGATTAGTTTCTAACTGAATAATGGAACCAAATTTTTTTTGAGATATGTTATTAATTTTTGTCGGTTCTCATTGTCTTTTTTGGGATATTACGCATTTCTATGGTTGTTGAACGAGAAAACTTTTCAAAATAATCAAGTTTGTTTTCCAATTCTTAAACATATTTCTTATATTGGAGATTATTTTGTTCGAGCACAGTTTTGACATGAAATCAATCGATTTTTTAATGTCTTGGTTTTGTTGAACAACAGTTTGGACGGCCGAATCGAGAGCAAAGAATTTCGCAGTTTGTTGACATTGGAGCGTTTTCAACATTTCCTTAATTTCACTCATACATTTTAAAATAAATAACGTAAAAGTTGACACGAAATAAATCACCTTGATAATATTAGTTTAAGCTGAACGCACATTTGTCCGCGCCGAATTTTATAAAATGCGGTAGGTATACGATGTCGAAGGACGAATGCTGATGACGTCATATAATGCGGCGCGTGCTGATACTGTGTTGTCTAATGTTGCCAACTTAGTGGATTTTCCACTATAACCGGTGGTTTCGACTCCCATGATAATTTTTGTATTTTTATAACTTTTAATTCATTCGTAATTAATTATACATGACTTGATTTTTTTTTTGCATCGATTATCAATATGTATACATACTTAGCGATAAATTATTTAAATACTGAACTACAAAAAATTGTTAAATTTAATTCAAAAACCCAATTATACCTGATTACTTGATTGTCAATAAAAATACTTATCTCAAACATAAAGAACAATGGCAGACTTTCATACATAAAATTAGTTGAGAAGAAATGGTAGCGTCTATATACCAAAAATATCTTAAAATGTTGAGTTTCAGTCCCTTAATAACTGTGACAAAGAATTTTGTACTGAGAAGGCGTCAAAAAAAAGATATTTACATTTGAACTTTTTAGGTTATGTCCTATGTCACTTGGAAAAAGTCATGCTTCCTGTGGTTGTTTGATGTTAGCTTAATACATAATACATAATTGAGAGTTTTTAGATTATTGTATCTCTATTATATATTTGCATACTATAAATGTATATTTCTGGCATGGCTCCAGGTCTTTTGTATCATAGTGACATTCTCAGAAGGGCTAGAACCCAGAGCCGTAAAGCCAGTAAAAAAACAGTGACATTTTATTTTAGCTAGTGTTGGCATAACATTAAATGGAATTGTTACATAGTACTATGATTGAGATAATGTATTATTGTAGGAAATTCTTTGTAAGAGACTTATTCTCAGCCATATCACTTTTATTTTTATTATTACTGATAGTACAGTTATTACTAATAGTAACTTAATATAAAAATATTTTGTGTGTTGTGTTGGTAGTCTTACAAAGTGTATACGAAAATAGTATAAATATACTAAATGGCAACATTTGAATAGAGTAAAATGATTTAAGTCATTTGATATTCCCAAAAATGTCTTTTCTTTTTCTGTGGCTTTAATTAAAATACATTTTTATTTGAATAATCATAGTAAAATAATACTTACTTACTTATCTTCACGCACAATCCTTGACGGGGTAGCCAGAGAGAACAGATCGCCAAGTGTCACGATCCTTACATACCTCTTTCGCTTCTTTCAGATTCATTATCTTCTTCATACATGCACGTCTAGGTATCCGAGTACTCTTGACCCTACCCTCTTCGAGCAATTTGCTCACATGGTCTTCGAAAGTTAGTCTCGGTCTACCTCGACACCTTTTAATATTAACTTTCGCGCTATATATTTTCTTCACCATTCGGTCTTCACTCATTCGCTCAACGTGCCCAAACTACCGAAGCACGCCCTTATCAATTTTTGTGATAAGGTCATCTTTCAAACCTGCCATATTGCGAATCTCTTCGTTTCGCTTTCGGTCGGCCATGGTAACGCCGCACATTTTACGAAGAGATCGCATCTCCACTGCATTCAACTTGCTTTTATGCTTCTTCTGGCATACCCAGGTTTCGCTGCCATATAACAAAGTCGGTACCAACACTGCGTTATGTATTCCAAGGCGTGCACTCTTCACTACGCCTTGCCTTTTGACTAACGCAGTCAGGGCACCATTGACTTTGTTCCCGGCAGCGACATGTCTGTCCACATCTTCCATCCCGGCTAAAAGCACTCCCCAAGTATACAATTTCATTTAAAATAATAAAATAAAGATAATAATAATAAAATAAAATAATAAAAAAAGTAAAATAATAAAACTCATTTTATATATAACTTATTTCTAGACGCTATAATTTTTGTCAACTATTTTTCTGCCTTTGCTCTTTCTTTCCTGTGGTTCAATTGGCCTTCTAAATCTTGAGTTTTCCATAGAAAGATATGGTTTTAGTATATTATGTAGCAATTCTTGAAATTTCTTGTATGTTAAATGTAAATATCTAAAAAAATTGTTCATCATCATCTAATAAGTCTTTAAATAAAGTATATCCCCTTCATATTCTCCATACAATTGCCTTTTAGAATTAATATTATGAATCCAGAATCTTCTTTTTTTTTCGAATTTTATTTTTTCTTCCTCTGCCAATAAGCAGTCTATTACTATATTTCTTTCCATAGTGATTTTGAGCGATCAATTTCGCTGTATCGTTTCACACCAGTGGTTGGAAAAAACTACAAAAGTTGTTGGTAATACAAAAGATTTGCGTACGGTGCGGACGATGCGTACGGGCAAATGTGCGAGGCCATCAGTAAAACTCGGCGCGTACGATGCGTACGGTGCGGACAAATGTGCGTTCAGCTTTACTGACCTGAAGTAACCTGTAAAAGCGGCAACGGTGCGACAGGTGCGCAGTGCTCACGCGGCATCGACGTAGTTAATTATTTACCTACACTTTCCCATTCATAGGTTTTGGTAAAAAACAAAAAAAGGGCTACCGAGAGTAGAATGTTAATTGTTATATATTTTTAGTTGTGTGTGTATGTTCAAAGAACGTTATGCAGGATAAGTCTTTTCATTTAATGTGATAAATTTATCTATCCCGTATATTCTAACCATCAGGTGTTTTGAAAAATGTAATCCTGAATGAACTGTTGTTGTAAAAATGCAGTTGGAAGTTCATGTTCAGACGTAACCATAGAAAAAGTAAGAAATTCTCATTAAATTAATTCAACATAGGCCTCCCCATAGATTGCATCATAGGAGGGTATTTGTCATACCCTCCTATGGAAACAGAGAGGTTAATGAATATTTAAATTCTAACGCACACACAAACACACACACGCGCACGCACACACACACACACACACATACACACACACATACACGCGCGCGCGCACGCACACACTCTCAGGTGTGTGGTTATTAGAAAAAAAATCTCTTTATTTTCCATATTTATTTTAACATATTTGTGTATTGTATGGCGAAATGAAATGATTTTCGTTATTTTATTTATTTTGTACTACTCAGGATGGAAGACACTGACGGCTGTAACACAGTTTATACTAGTATGGCCGTCAACGCTAACTTCTTTGAAATGTTATTTTGTAATTTAAAATAGATGTAATACATAAGTGTAATTTGTCAAACGGAGTCTAATAAATTATTATTATTTTGGGGTATTTATAGAGTATTCTCATCTGGTTGGGCTGAATAAATATATTAAAGGAAATAATAAATAAACATTACGTTATTATTATTATGTATTCTTCTTTTTTTCAAGATTTTCCAAGATCTTGGTTTTTGAGAAATGCTCACGGGCCTAAGCCAAGTGCTATTATTATTATATTATATGAGTTGATATTAAGTTTTGTTATTATTATTATTATTATTACCCTCCTATGAATCAATCTGTATGACGATAAACATTGCGCTCGGCAGGCGGGTTCGCAAATTTTATCAGGAAGATCCGTATCGTCTTTTACAACGCCCGCGGTTTAATAAGGGGTAGTGTATTTTCTTAGGTTGAAACTACACGGCAAACCAACATAACAGAGTATTATGTTTTAAAAATGTTTAATTAATTAATAGATTCGTTGGTTCATAAATTTTAGCAACTTTCATTCACGTACATGGTTATTTTTAAGGTTCCGTACCCAAAGGGTAACCAACGGGACCTTATTACTAAGCTTACCCTGTCCGTCCGTCCGTCCCTTTCCGTCAATTTTCACAGAATGTGTATTTCTGTTGCCACTATAACAACAAATAATAAAAATTAAAAGGTGCTCCCTTACTAAAAACGTGTATTACGATGGTAAGGAACCCTTTATGCGCGAGTCCGACTCGCACTTGGCCGTTTATACGAGGGCGGCACTGAAGATTTGGGGAATCAAGGAAGTGACACAACATTACTATTTAAAAATGTATTTATTGCTTTTCGAAGTATTCTCCGCGAAATTTGACACATTTTTCCATACCATGGAACCAATCATTGAAGCAACCATTCCATTCGGAAGTTGAGGTCTCCAAAATGGCCGTTTTGTAGGCGTCCACAGCTTCTTCAGGTGATGAAAATCTCTGTCCACGCAATTTATTCTTTATTTTAGGGAAAGTATAGAAATAATTAGGGCTTAGGTCGGGGCTGTACGGCGGATGGTCTAATAATTCTATGTTTTCTTGCTCTAAAAACTCTTTTGTTCTGTGTGCGGTGTGAGAACTCGCATTGTCGTGATGGAGGATGATGCGGCGGTTGCAGTTCTCTTTACGGAGTTCAGAAACGACCTGTGGCAAACAAATGCTAGCATACCATTCTGCATTAACCGTTCTTTGTCCCTCAAGAGAAATAGTCGTAACATGGCCGGTTTTGGAGACAAACGTGGCCACTATTTTTTTGGCAACACTCCGTGAACGAACAATTTTTGTTGGCTTTAACTCATTTTCGAACACCCAAACTCGTGACTAGTTTTTTGTTCGGGTATACAGCATTTGAGGATCCTGCGTGGAATCTTTCGAGAGTTCTGACGCACCAAGTAACGCGAGCCGCTTTTTGCTCTTCACAGAGCGAATGCGGTATCCATCGGGAAAACAACTTTTTTACACCTAATTGTTCATGCAAGATTATTTGTATTTGACTCATGCCAATGTCTAAAGTTGCCTGAATTTCGCGGTATGTCACATGTCGCTCTTCCTCAATCAGCTTACGCACAGCATCAACGTTTTCTTGGGTGACTGCAGTTTTTGGACGAGCTTGACGGGGATCATCACCGAGCTTGACACGTCCACGTTGAAATTCAGCAAACCAGCGATAAATTATGGTTTTGGATGGGGCTTCATCACCAAATGCAGAAATCATCCGGTCAACACACTGTTTTTGTGTTAAACCACTTCGAAAGTCGTAATAAATCATCGCTCTTGAATTTTCTCGAGTCAATTCCATTTTCTCAACGACTAAACAAGTTTGACAAAACCTTGTGACAAGACCGAGAATCTTTTTTTAAATAAATAAATGGTATTCAATTTTAAAAAACCAAGGACTTTTCAATTAAAAAGATTTTAATATGACAGGAACAGTGGAAATATTCCATTCCCGATACTTTTAGTGCAGCCTATGTATTTATTTAGTAAATACAATTATCTTCAATAACGGTTAATTGTTCTGTGAGTGGGCTGCGTTGAAAAATAATCCTGATAATTGCACATTTCACAGGTAAATGTATGTAATTCTCAGGACGTCATCACTGCTATGACACGTTTTAAGTTAAAGTGCATGTTTTTTTTAAATGCATGCAACTTTTTGCAAAGATAAAAGTCACATTTTTGATAGTTTGCATGATTTTGGTGGATACATTTTTCATCAAACTATTACGCTATATATACTATGTACGCTAGGGATTGATTGATTAACTTTACCACACAGCAAATACAAAGAGGAGGTGTTGTAATTAGATTTCACTATGTTACAACGCGTGACAATTTGCGGGGTGAAGGGGTGTTAAGCCCCACCCAGTTCTCAAAAAGTTCCATATCGATGTTGCAATGCAGTTTAGCTACCTTGACGATAGATGGCGGCCTGTTCACAAAATGATTATAAAACTATAACAATAATATTTTGGCGATTAAAAATTCTTTAGGACTGAATGCAAAACAAATTACAACACCTTCCTATGATTATTTTACCAATACTGAGCTCTACGTAATTTTATATTTTTAGTTCCCATGACACAAAGTGTCGCCATCTAGTGTAGAATATATTTAATTACGTTTGAAGCCGACGCAGAGATTTTACACGATAAAACACAACACTTCATCCTTTTCTTCTTAATACTACGAAAACACACCGATTTGCGATTTTCGACACAAACGCACAGGACGAACGCTGACGGTATGCTAAATAAAGCCACGCCCTCTGTGATGATGCCAGGACCTAATTAGAATCACAGTGCACAGTTACTTATGCCATTTCCTCTTTGTGTTTGCTTCGTGGACTTAAATTTTTAACTATTTGGCCTCATAATATAACTTTCACAATCTTTTTTCTAGACAAGCAATAAATGAATGGCTCCCTGAATTCTCTATACCGAAGACAGCACAAGGACCTGTTATAAAACCGCAGCCACCTGTCACAGGTAACAATCTCATTGTTTCCTTATAATCACTTTTGCTTTAGTGTAATATTCCCTATTGGATATGTATCTACGATTAAGCTTCTACAAATGGTGTGTTTATAACAACAATCTGTTTATTATATTATTATGTGTATAATATTCATATTGCCACTTTTCAAAGTGAAACTACAAAACGCAAAATCAAATTAACTTTAAAAGGCAAAGTGGTCTGAATCAGATGGAACGTGCAACGTCACATGCGCAGATGCGCAGGCGTCGCATGTACTATGTATATACAGGGTTATTTTGCAATAACCGGCCCAATTTGTAGAGAAGGTTCAGAATAAGTAATATAGGCATTATGGTGAAGAAAAATTAATTATAAAAAATCTCAAACATTCTGTCCTTTTTATCTTTTAAATTCAAAATGCCTCATAATGCATTATATTAACTGATTACTGGTATACATAACTTTTTTCTGGGTGAACCGATTTCGATGATTCTTTTTCTTTATTTGAAAGCTGGTGCTTCTCATGTTTGTCCCATATAAATTTGATCAAGTTCTGAGTTATTCTTAATAATTTTATTGAAGTCGGTTGTACAAAAGTTTTAATTTTTAATTATTATTACTCGATGTGTCTGCTCTATCGAATAAAACCGTACGTGAGCACGAAGCATAATTATTAAGCAATATATTTTTCGTTGGCCGTGTAAGAATATCCACTACCCCATATCGTCCCGTGGCCCGTGGGTCTCGTAAGAGGCGACAGAGGGAAACAAACCAAGAGATGGGCAGCAGCATATTCCTGATAATAACGCGGTTGCCAACCAGCCTGCCAAGTGGCAACTATGGCAAATCCCTCCTATGAGGCAATATATAGGGAAGGCTTGTGTTCTGCAGTGGACTCTTATAGGCTGTAGTGGATGGTAATAGATATTTTTTTTATAATGCAGCAACCTCTCCCGTATCAAAACAACTTTTGAGATATTGACATTGGCAGTGTGGTTCGGTATTCCGTGTTAAATAAATACCAGTCGTAGTTCGATTTGTTAGTAGTTTTGGTTTTTGCTGGAGTCGTTGTTATTTTGTAAATGTTTTGTATTTTTTTTCTTCTTTTATCTTGTGCTTTTTATTTGAAAGCTGGCTTTCAATTCTTATACCTTTTATCCATAACTTTGATCTACGTGAACCGATTTCGATGAGAATCATCAAAATCGGTTCATGTAGATCAAAGTTATGAGGTAACACACACAAAAAACATACAGTCGAATTGAGTTAACTGTTCAATTTACGTATACCTTACCTATTCACCATTCGTTGTAAACAACAGTTCTTTGCGCAAAAAGGATGTATGGAGGAAATCACTTCGAAAGCGAAATACCGCCTTCATCTTCGAATTTACCTCCTATATAATTTATTTCATTTTGTTTTAATGTGTATTTTTGTACAATAGTAACTCTTTAAGAATAATTTTGGCATATTTAACTGATATTTGATATCAATGTTGAATAAAACTAATTTTACGGATTTTATCGCGTTTAATTTTATTTACTTTTATTTCCTGACATTTTGGGTTCTTTGCAGCATCCATGGTCACGGAGTGGATGAGGTAATTGAAGTCTCGATGTCAAAGTTAACCCGGAGTACCTTCAGCTTTTAACAGTCGGGAATTAAAAATAAGTAAAATGAAATGCGATAAAATCCGTAAAAGTAGTTTAAATAAACCTTGGTTGCATGGATTTTATCGCGTATATTAAGGTGAAAGCGCCAGGGTAGCCCGCGAAATTCAAATTTTCTTACGTTTTTTGCCATTTACAGATCAGTGTCAGGTTGTATGTTTAACAAAATATGATTCGCGACCGTAACGAGTATGTATTTACAGAATTATAATTATTATAATCAACAATACAACCCTCTAAGTTCGTATAATTCCATTGTATGGTTATTTGCAGAAAAATTCATTCAAAGGGATTATATGACCTTAGAGGGTTGTATTGGTGATTTAATGATAATAATTCTGTAAACACATACTCGTTACGGTCGCGAATCATATTTTGTTAAATATTCAACCTGACCCTGATCTGCTAATTCCAAAAAAACGTAAGAAAATTTGAATTTCGCGGGCCACCCTGGAGATTTCAACTTAACGTATAAGAATTAGGTAGCCGTGGTTAACTATGACATTGGGACGTCGAATACTTCAGCCCCCCCCCCCCCCCGTGAATATGGGTGCAGTAAAGTGTTCGAAACATCGGGAATATAAAATAAGTTAATATACGCGATGAAATCCGTAAAATCTAGTTTTATTGAAATGTGTAGTGTCCGCTTAATTATAAATAAGAAATCATTACGTGAGCCGAATGTAACGCTCAAAATTGATAGCAAGTGGTATAATGTTGAGTGAAGTGTGTGTTTCAGTGCCGGCGGTGCCGATCGTGCCGATCCTGCCGTCGGTGAACACGTGCATGTCGCTGGTGACGGCCACCAGCAACACGGCCACCACCAGCACGGCCGACATGTGCGGGCCCGCGCCCTGCATCCCCACCGTCAACACGAGCCAGCTGCAGGCGCTGGCCGACGTCTGCTCCGCCTCGCCCGACCGCCCCATCATATCCAGTGTGGTCAGTCTTTTTTTATAATTTACACACGTCTTTTCCACTGTACACACAGCAGCAGACATTACACCTGCTATATAATAATTTTAATTCATTATAGATTACAAAAATACTTATTGAAATTAATTTTAAGCTTTACCACTGGTTCGGAAATTAACCTCTGTCCTGGAAAGAACCAGCAAGAAACTCAGTCGAAATTTTTTTTAAAAATAAAGATATTAATTTTTAAATAAGATAACAATATATTTTTTTATACGTGGTAGAGCCATGCTGCAGCTATATCAGTAGTATAGTTGTAGCACGAATAGGTCGGCTCGACCGTGGAAGGACCACGCTCTCACAGAATACCAGCGTAAAATAGCAGCTTAACACTGCTATATTTTGTATGGTGAGGTGTAAAGAACCCGAGACCCTTTTTACTGGAAAAAAGGCATACCGTCTTAGTCATCGCGGGTGACAACGCATCTACATTTTAAGAGTTTATTGAGGATAGCTGTAGATATCCATGGGTCACAGCAATCACTTAGAATCAGGTGAACAGTGTGCTCGTTTGTCGCCCTATCCTATAAAAAAATGTATACTATTAGTATGAAAAATGAATAGAAATAGCCTGATATCAACTCATCCCCAGGAGCTATTATCAATCCTGTACCTTTTAGCAATATATAAATAATCCTTAACAATTCTTGCTTAATAAATTTTTTTAACTTTTATAAACATTTATAAAATTTTAAACTTTTATAAATCAAAAAGTCCCAGAAAATATGTAGGCCTTACATATTTTCTGGGACTTTGTTGTATAAGCGCACTGCCTCTTGAAGGAATTACTCTTCGGATTCGAGTGATTGATATAACTAAATGAGAGGGAAATAAAACGGGTCATCATCGTCGTCCTAATAACTAAAAAAATCAACTCAAAGCAATAAAAAACTGCTGCCAACCCATCTTTCAAGCGTCAATTTACCAGTACGAATGTATCAGTTCGTAATAATAAACACTCAAGCCTATCACCCAGAGGGGTAGGCAGAGACTATGGACTTCCATTTGACACGATCCTCACACACCTCTCTCGCCTCCTTTACATCCATATAACTACGCTTACACGCTCGTCGGTTAAGGGTACTCTAAATAGGTCGCATTTTCAACATATCGCCAATTCGGTCGATATACTTTCGTCTAGAGCGTCCCTTCCCGACTCTGCCGTTCACATCGCAACATAGAATTGCTTTGTCACTCTTTCCTCGTTCATTCTTTCTACATGACTAAACCTCTGAAACATTCCTTTCTTAATCCTGGTCATACAGATTCAGTATCTATCAGTTCATCATATATCATAGCGCCTGCCCACCATTACGTGTGCAAATAAATTTGCTAAGTAAGGCACATTGTCCACGGTCGCGTCATTTGACGAATGCATACAACGTTCAGATGACGATAGCCTTATTTTGCATATTTGTTATGTCCACACTATCTGTATGCATTCGTCAATTACACTTCATCAGTAGCATCGCGAAAGCGCGTAATTTCGTTGGCAAATGTCAAGTGATGATGATGATGTAATTATAGCATACATCTTTATTAGAAGACGACGAAACAGGCGAAGAATATACTGGTTTTTTGCGCAACTTCAATCCAAGCTCTATCCGTAACATCGTTTCTAGAGTATTCCGTCAATTTATGATTGTATAAACAAGAATATTGTTCAATAATGTGAACAAAATTCTCCGTCGAGCCCGCCATTTTGTAACATAAACAGGAGTTTGCGTGTCGCGAGTCGGTCGGGCAGTGAGATGGTGCCGCGTACACAGGCGGACGCGACGTTGTCGCTCCGTGGACACAGTTTGATTGTGTCTACGCAAGATGCAAGCAATCGTCAATTGACGATAGTGTGCGCATGACGTGCGGTTTACGTGGTTAATGATTCAACAGTGTACTTATAGGATCTTGTTGTATGATAATATTTGTCTTGAAAATGAAGAATTTTGATGAATATGGAGGTTAGTAGTAAAGAGTGCCAAAGATGTTAGTCATGAGCGGGCTTTGGATGATTGTCTTACAATTATCATGTTTTTACCTTTTATTCATCACTAGAATTAATAGAATCAGGCGTTACTTTGCGGAAATCCATTATAATGGGGTTGTTATAAACTAATTTGCTTAATTCCGCGTAAAGAAAGAAAATTATGTGTCCTGCCCAGTTTTAAAGGGAGCTTCCACCTTCCCTCAATCGCGCACACTATACCCGTCGCCGTGAATCCCAACACTACCACCCCCAGCACCACCACACTAGGCACGACACACCACTCTCAAAAATATGACACGTGTTTCGCCTCTACACGAGGCATCCTCAGGTGAAGTAGACTCTGCGGAGGCCGGCCGGATCGGCCGGCTGACAAATAAGCAAGCACAACTTACCGATTTCCGGAGGTAGGGTTGACCACAGGGTATCAGTCAGGTGGTAAGTGATGTGCATGTAAGTAGTGTGTACAATGTGTAACCTGACTTAACCGTTGAAGTCGGACCGCAGATCCACAAGCGCTGCTTCTCTCCAAAAGTGAGATCTCGCAAGGGGGGCGATCACCAATTGAAAACTTCTGCTTTCATTTCACTGTATTAGTCTATCAACTTTATTGTACATTTAATTAACTTCAAAGTCAACCAATTCAACGTTCATCGAAATTAAAACAAGTGACACACGACACAAGTAACGAACAGTCGTTCAAACTTCAATATTCAATGTTCCGGGTTCACTTAGCACAAATTACAAACACGGGAACGAACGCGGCCTCTTCTCGAGTCTCAAAGTTCAGCGTTCCACACAACAAGGCAAAGTTCCCTCGCACGATATCAAAATGCCACGAAGCAACTCGTCGAATCAAATTAGGTTAAGTTAATAATTCAAATTCAATATAAGCTCAAAACTCAAATTAGGCCTTTTGTCACGAAAAACACTCAAAACAGACACTCAATTCGAGGCGGTCTACACGAGACCGAGCGCTTCGCACGTAACCGTCAAACTTTAAGACTAGTTAACTCGATGAACTCGTTATGACGAATAACAAAATAAGATAACGCTGTAGGAGGCGCGCGACCGACCGTCGCGCCACGACGCTTTTTCTTACTAACAGGCAGCCGCGTCCTCGAATGGAATGCGAACGGGAGCGGGGGGCGACGGTGACCTTGGTAACATCGGATGCACGAGTCGAGTGCGCGTCGTGAATGCAAATTTTTACAGTGTTAATTATTTGGCCTAAACAAGCTGTTATCAGTAAAATGCTAGGAGCCATCTCGTGTTTAATTTTCCCAATATCGCCTCTTACGATACCCACAGGCCGATATGGGTAGCGGATCTTACACCCTCGCTACTCAAAGTGATGCTCACGACTCAAGTTAGATGCAGTTGATCTTATTATTTAATGAAGTGACAATCTGCCAGAACCATCAGGTCCATTTTTATAGCGCTACTAGCTGACCCGGCAAGCGTTGTTTTGCTGTATACATTATTTCTAGGAAATATTTTTTACTTTTAATAACAGGGGTTGATCGTAGAAGGGTGAAAATTTGAAGTTTTATATATTTTTCAATGCTAAATCATAAAATAAAAATAAAAAATGTTGTCAAAAAATTAAAAAAAAGTATTTGGGGGTGCGTCACTCTTATCATTTAGGGGTTTGAAAAATAGATGTTGGCAGATTCTCAGACCTACCTGATATGCACACAAAATTTCATACAAATCGGTTCAGCCGTTTCGGAGGAGTTAGGTAACAAACACCGCGACACGAGAATTTTATATATTAAGATGTTTTGTGTGAACGGGTTTATAAAGATGAAGGTATTTTCAGGTCTCGCCAGTAGAAAACTACAATCCAGTATTAAATCCCGTTATGAACTCACTGGTTTCACCGACTAAAGTGATATTAAATGAGTCAATACCAAATCCAATCATTCCAATCGCCAGCTCCAACATGTCTTTACCGTCAGAAATACCTGTTTCCACACTACCGGTGCCAATTCTCGGCCTCAAAGCAATAGAAGGCAACAGTGAGAAGATGGCAGATCAGAATATGATGGAGAAGATTGGAGATGGAAATGAGACTGTATCAAACGATAGTGTGCTAGAAAGTACGAGTTTCATAGAAGAAATAAAGAAGGATAAGGAAGCGGAACACGAAACTGATCCAATAATTGTGGATGATGTAGAACCGCCAGTGGAAGTACTTAGGAATGGCGAAATGAGTGTTGGAGGTAAGATTTACTTTTTTTCTTTTTTATAGCATAGGGTGACAAACAAGCACACAGTCCAAATGATGATAAGTGTTTGCTGTAGCCCATAGACATCTACATCTATCCTCGATTACAAATCAAAATGCAGATGCGTCGTCACCCGTGAGGACTAAAATGGAATGCCTCGGTTCCAGTAAAAAGGGTCTCCGGTTCTCTACACTCACCATACGAAACACAGCACACACAGCGTTAAGCTGCTATTTTACGCTGGTATTCTGTGAGAGCGTGGTCCTTCCCCGATCGAGCCGACCCATTCGTGCTACAACTATACCACTAATATAGCTGCAGCATGGATCTACCACGTCCAAAACAAACAAACTTGTATAGCTCAAGAGAATATATCACATAAAATAAACTCTACCAAAAGATATCCATTTGGAGATTCTGACAAACCTTTCTCGCTTCTTTCCGTTACAGCCTATCAAAAGTCCAGTGCTGAATATAGGTCTCCCTCATAGACTGTCTCATAGAGGGACATTTGTCATAGCTGCCACGCTTGACAAGCCGGTTGGCAACCGCAGCTTTTTTGGTTCTTGCTGTTATTAGAAAGACGCTGCTGCAAATCTGGTTCGTATCCTTCTATCGCCTCTTACAACACCCACGGGACGATACGGTGTAGCGAATATTCTTACACCGGCACTACACGAGCATCTCGCACATTCTACGCACACATGTTCGTCGGTTAAGGGGTAATATTAACATGGTCCATCTTCAATATATTTTCAATTTGGATGATAAACTTCCTTCTGTCAGTCACTTCTGCAGCATTTATTTGCTTTGTCAGTCTTGCTTGATTCAGTCGTTCTACGTGTCGAAACCACCGAATCATTCCTTTCTTAATCCTGGTCACGACATCTTGCAAACCACGCTTTTATCTTAACACGCAATTTCTCACTCTGTCATTCAGAATCACCCATAACATACTTCTTAATAACCACATTTCCACAGCATTGATTTGATTATCATGCTTCTTCTGCCAAACCCAAAATTCACTACTAATACATTAACAATAGTAGTGAATTTTGGGATTAACACAGCGTTGTGAATTGCCATACGTACTAAACACGTCTCCTAAATACAAAACTTATTCTCTTGCTTGACCAATAAACCCCTTCTATTCTTATTAGCAGAATCCATACTGCATTTTATTATATGACTACCCTTAAGGGAGACAAATGAGCACAAAGCATCTGAACACCTGAAAGAGAAGATGCTAGGTTACATAGACATAGACACCTACATTATTCCTTGAAATGAATATAGTATAAGATAGAAAAAGGTTTTGCATCTTGGATTTCATCAAGATTATGCTGCTATTTTGGTTTGGTATTCTGTAATAACGTAGTCTGGGCCTGTTGCATCGGTTCTACCACGTAAAAAAAAATTGAATAAATAGATTTAAGTACTACTTATTGTATTAAATGTAAAAACGCGACCTTGACATGAATAAAAACCGTTGGCTAAGCATAGTTTACACAATTTTGATTTTTTTGTTCTAAAAAAAAACTAAGAGTCAGATATCCAAAGTTATATTAGGCACTAAGCACACTATATACATTGTATACATTTATTCATTTCAATAACTTTTTAAAATATGCAATAAATGCAATTATGATATGTTCTCTTATCATCTCAATACATGCCACTTACATTAATACGTCTATGCCCATGGGTTTATGTATTGTTTTATTTTCTCATATTTTTTGCATTAAAAAAGAGCAAGAAGGAATATGAATGCCTGCTTCTGTTTATAAAATAGGAGTCCCACAAGGTTTTCTGTTAGGTCCCCCTTCTTAAAATGTCTCTGTAAGTGTAATTTATATAAATTTTGGTAACTTATTGCAGATACTCCCCAAACACTAAGTCCAAGTCGGCGGTCCATTCCCGAAGTGGGTATCGAGCCTCTGGACGTAGATCCACCGTCGACAACGGCCACAGATTCTGATATCGTCATGAATGATGGTCTCAGTGAGGTAAGGCGATATTTATGGACTTCGTTAGTCTTTAAAAGAAGAAATAGACTGTTTGAGTCTAAACTTGCAAAAAAAAAACATCTAAAATGTTTAATGAATTCATTCATTTCATTACAGCCTATTAAAAGTAATATAAAGGGATAGTGGATAATCTTACATCGCCACAGCTTTAAATATTTTTCTTTGGATAGTGACCAAAAAATAAAACTAAAATAAACAATGAAAACCAGCGGTAAAAGTGAAATAAAAATAGACTCAATAAAAATTATTTGTATTCTGTTATGGAAAAAAATTGTTATTTTTTTTCAAATTTTTTTTAATTTTCATTTTCAGAATGGTTCCATGCAAGTGGAGCCAAGCAACAGTCCACTTAGCGGCGACATGATGGTGGAACCAACCGAGCCGACCGACGAGTATGTTTCAATCAATTTTTTGTCACGAAAGTCCTACGTTCTAAGTCCTGTTTTTATATAAGAACAGCATGCGGTTCACTTGATGGTAAGTGACTACCGCGACCATGAAGAACTGCAACAACAGAGGAATTGCAGATGCGTTGCCAGCCTCGTAAAAAAAGTAGGCTCTTTCTTGAAGGTCTCTAAGCTAATTGGAGGTTGATACTGATTTAGCACGTGTTAGGCTGTGAAGGAAATCATAGTGACCAATTAAGTCACAACAGAGTGATGGCTTCACTCTGTCTCATCCTCTTCAAGAGGCGATTTAGGTAATACCTGGAAGATTTTATGATTTCCAATAAATGGTGAGATAACTATTTCTTATTTCTACATGTTTTTCTTTCTTTCTTAAAAAAAAAAACTTTACCCCCACACTAGAATTTTCATGTATCGTGTAGGCAGTTTACAAACATAAATTGCACGAGGACACACATCCAGACCGGAAGAAAAAAATCATAATCTTATAAAAAAATACAATGTACTTGTTCCATGCGGAATTCGGACCCGTTATATAATACTCCCCCAAAAACATTAATGTGAAAAGGGGGCCATTTTCGCTACAAACGACGTTTGAGGTTGATTTGAATTGTGAATTACTATAATTGCCTTCTTGACACATTCTGACTTCCCACAAAAGAGTAAAGAGAGCCCCATTCACTCTGTGTCTTATATTCACTCTTCGTAACAACCACCATCCCTGGTATAAACACACATTCTAAACGCACACCATCATCCACTCTTTTTTTATAGAATAAGTGTGACAACGAGTACACAGTCCACCTGATGATACGTGGATGACAGACAGCATCCCCTTATATAGGCTACATCTATCCTCGATTAAGAATCAAAATGCAATGATTGAGCTCCTATTTTACGCTGGTATACTGTTAGAGCGTTGTCCCATCCCTGTCGAGTTGACCCATTCGTGCTGCTGCTTTTTATTCCATTCGTGCTACAACCATAATGTAGGAGCAGCACCTTTTCTATTCTTATTTCACATGTCGTTCTAATTATTTCTCTTTCAAAAACTATCACTTACGTCTTAATATTTATAAAGTAATCATTGTCTACAATTCGCCCACTGACGACGCAAATACGACTTTATCGTCGGCCTACAAGAGGAATTTGACGTGTAACTCACTCATTTTTAATATACTATTTTCGACTTTCATTGTTTCGAAGAAACGAAGGCAATCATTTGGTTTAAATGCATGGATTAGCAGGAGAAGTCCATTTTCAACATTAAACTTTTACTTTCTAATAACAAAGAAGAAGTTGAATTCATTTCTAGTGTGAATATTATATTACAGTGTCGACGAACCGGCGTTAGAAACGAGTGAGCTGACAACGGATGACCTGATGTTGTTGTGCGATTTGTTCTACTTACCCTTCGAGCACGGCTCCCGAGGCCTGCGGCTTCTTCACGACTTCAATTGGCTCATCACACATGCGGCCAGCATGTTGCCCAGGGGGAATAAATCTGAGGTAAGCTTACTGTGTTCTGTAAATCATTAGTTAAGCAAAAATATAAAAGAATCATAAATCGTAAATTATTGTTTAAAAATCCCACTTTCTGTCTTCGAAACCAGTGCTAAAAATATAAATGAATAAGAATATATAATAATAAGAAATAGGTTGTGACCATTTTGATCACGTAAAGTACTTCCGGTATATATGAAATATAATTTGCTTTGAATAAAACTATTTTTTACGGATTTTATCGCGTTTAATTAACTTATTTTATATTCCTGACTTTTCAGTTGCTTTCCAGCAACCGTGGTCACGGGGACTGAGGTGATTGACGTCCCGATGTCAAAGTTAACCCGGAGTACCTTCAGCTTTTTATGTCAGAGGTGTCACAGACAAGATTGGCTACATCTTGAAGCGAGCTTCTATTAGAACATTCTTCAAGCCGCCGAAGAAGATTAGTCAGTTCTTACCATCCGTCAAGTGCAATATTCCTCTACAAGATGCAGGAGTATACAAGCTTGATTGTGAGTGTGGTCTCTCATATATAGGGCAAACAAAACGATCAATAAAAACCCGCGTAAAAAAACACATAGCTGACGTGAAGCACTAACGTTCCGGGAAGTCTGCAGTTTGTGATCATATCCTAGACGGCCCCCGTCATTACATTAGATTTGATAAACCACAAGTCCTCGCGAAAGAACATCGATTCCTGTCAAGGATGATACGTGAGGCTATTGAAATTAAAAAACATCCTAATTTCAATAGAGGGGGAGGCTGGTTACTACCACCTGCTTGGGATCCTGTAATTCATAAAATTAAAACTAAACCCAAGCATACCACTGTAAGACTTCAAGACACAGTTAGTTCATTCTGCGTAGATCGGACCAAAATTAATAATTAAAAAGCTGAAGGTACTCCGGGTTAACTTTGACATCGGGACGTCAATCACCTCAGTCCCCGTGACGCTGGAAAGCAACCGAAACGTCGGGAATATAAAATAAGTTAATTAAATGCGATAAAATCCGTAAAAATAGTTTTATTCAATGTGTAGTGTTCGCGTAAATATAAGAAATCATAATTTGCTTTGAATAAAACTATGTGTACGGATTTTATCGCGTTGTTAATCTTATGCTTATTGTTTGGCAATGAACGTGTTAACGCCGTGTCTCGTCGGTTAGAGATTCCATCAATATATTTCGTCCAGTGGCTCACGTAAGAAGTGAGAATGGGGTGTAATGTAAGTTTTTAGAAGTTTTAAATTAAAGACATGTTTTACGTAAGACAGTCAAAAGTATATTGCCAGAGAAACGGAAAAACATACAGTTCACACGCGGAGCGGGGAGTGCTACGTAAGGTGAATTTTACACGTCTGTGGGACCGTATACAACTTTACACACCCTTGGGACCATCTTCTTGTTTACATTATTTTGATCACGTTATTGGGATATGCCAGAAGATCTTATTTCTTCCGATAGATGGTATAAGCTTCTCGTTAAGAGGTAATTCGTGAAATGCTCATAACAGTGACGAGGACCAACGTGAAAGATCACGTCTGCTTCTTCGATCATTAATCCGTATGCCATGCATGGCAATTGAGGCAAATCTCCCCTACAACATGAGAAGACCGTTTTCAGCTGTGAACTTTTACGGGCTGCTGAAGAAAATGAAATGCACTAGACTAATTATAACGTCGAGGATAAAGTTTCTTCGTATTTTATATACAAATTCAAGACATTTTTTTTTAAAAGTTTAATTACATTTAATTATAATATTATATATGTGCCATTTTGTTCGATAACTTATTGCAATCTTGTAGGTAGTGACATAATCCCGTTTCTGTAGTAATTTTAGGTTTTTCGATTAAAAAATGTGATAAGTAGTTTTGACAGTCCTCTCTTGATGTTAACCTAACACTACCCAAAGAATTCTGATGAAACCGAAACAGGTGAAAATCTAAGTTATCCAATAACATCAACAAATTACCGGTTGAGTGCACATCATTAATAAAATAACCGATTAAGTTCGCACAATTATAAAATTCTTAAACCACCACTACACAGTGAAGGGAGTTATTATCAAATATTCCCCCTGTCGAGGTAGCAAGGCGACAACTGCATATTGTGGTTTTTAGTATGGACTAAACTGTCATAACATAAACAAGTAGTTTCTTTTCGGAGTCATCTATACGAAGGACCATAATATATTTAAACCTTAAAGCTTTAAATATATGGTCCTTCGAGCCGGATTTGTTAAAAGGACATTAAAAGTGAAAATATTTAAGGAGGGAATAAAAGTGAAAACTAAAAGGTTCGTCCTGTCGTGGCATACTGTTCCCATCTCTGGGCTGGAGCTCCCCAGTGCCAGCACCTTCCATTTGATAGCATTCACCGCAGAGCGGTTCTAACCGTCGGCGACCGAGCTCTTTCTGGTCGGCTTGACTCACTGGCACTGCGAAGACATGTTGTATCTCTTTGCGTACGACTTAGGCCGGCAACGCACTTGCAATTCCCCTGGTGTGGCAGTTGTTCATGGGCGGCGGTCGACACTTACCATTACGTGAGCCGCATGGTTTTTTTGCGACCTCTTCTATAAAAAAAAAATACAAAAGGCTTATGCGAACTTTAAAAACTCGCCAAAAGAAAGAATTACAGTAGGCTATATAACATCTTGATAATATTCTTTAGAAGTTTATTGGAAGGATTTTAACTGTTTACATCAAAAAATCTTACAAGAAATTTCGAAGGAGGAAAGAAAGTCCTGTTGTTTTTCGATTATGAAGTCTATGATAATTTTGAGGAATCATATTATACTAATCATAATATAAAGGAGAATATCGAAATGCTTTAGAAAAATCGCAACCGGATACGGATACTGAAAATAAAGCGCAACAATGAGGGCATCTACAACTTTGTCTGCCACCAGGGCGGCGCTACTTTACAATGAAGTGAAATATTTGACAGATTTCATAGTTGGGAAGATAATTTATTAGGAAAATTTTAAAGTTAATGTTTCTTTCAGTATTATTAGTCATATTTTATATAAATTAGATTAGAAATAAATGAACCAAACTAATGAATATATGACTATGAATATATTTCTGAAAGTAATTTTTAAAAGGAGTTAAAAAGTGCAAAAAATTAAAGATCATACCACGGTACCTCTTGTTTTGTGTATTAACATAATACTATAGAAACTGATAAACTACCATTTAAAACTAATTTTAAAAACGCACGCAAGCTAAACTATACTTTATCGCTGAGCGCGAGTGTCTATATGGCTTTGCATCTTTTCCCCTTCTTACGTCATCATCATCATCATCATCATTACAGCCTTTCATAAGTCCACTGCTGAACATAGGCCTCCCCCTAAGAATGCCACAAAGCACGGTCCTGAGCCACCTGCATCCACCGACTTCCTGCATGTCTTACCAGGTGTTACTCCATCTAGTGGGGGGTCGCCCTACACTTCGCCTACCGGTACGAGGCTGCCACTCGAGAACCTGTCTTCCCCATCGGTTGTCGGTTCTTCGAGCTATATGGCCGGCCAGCACTGCCACTTCAGCTTACTAATCCGTTGGGCTATGTCGGTTATTCTGGTTCTACTGCGGATATCCTCATTTCTAAGTTTATCACGCAGAGAAACCCCGAGCATAGCCCTCTCCATAGCTCGCTGAGCGACCTTGAGCTTCCTCATACGGCCAGGAGTGAAGGACCAACTCTCAGATTCCTAAGTCATCACTGGCAACACGCACTGGTTGTACAATTTCGTTTTCAGGTTTTGAGGTATGTCTAACGAGAAGATGTGTCGTAGTTTCCCGAACGCTGCCCAGTCTTCTGTACAATCTGCCGCAGGGTATGTATGTGGTCCATGGTACTAAAGCCTTTTCAGAAACTGGCTTGTTCGGGAGGTTGGAAGTCGTCAAGTCTGCGTGCGAGACGATTCGTAATGGCTCTCGAAAACAGCACGTAGACGCGGCTCAGAAGGGAAATCGGTCTGTAATTATTCAAGAGTCGCCTTTCTTGAAAAACAAGACCACCGCACTTCTGCTCCACACCTCCGGAGTAGTGAGTGCCACCATGGAGGACGGAATTAAAGAGCTTCTGAAGGACTTCAAGTACCGGTTTTCTACCCGCTTTCAAAAGCTCCGCTGTAGTTCCGTCCTCGCCCGGTGACTTGCCGTTTTTAAGGTGCTGGAGAGCCATTCTAATCTCGTTCAGACTGACGTCCGGGATATCTTCGGAATAGTGTCGGATAAATTCGCTCTTGGATCGTTACTCACACTTGCGTGTGGCTCCAACGATGACATGTACAGCTGCCCATAGAACCTCTCAATCTCATTCTCTTCTCTTCTCAAAATCTCAGGAGTCCCGGAAACGATGCTGCCACACTCGGTCTTCAGCTTTGACAGTTGGCTCTTTCTGGCAGAAAGATCTCTGGCAAAGAATTTGACAAAAAATTACTTTGCGTACATCCGCTAGATAAAATAAAATGATGTGTCTTACCTAGTTTGAAGAGCACCTTCCGCCCTCCCTCAATTCTACTACTCCCAACACCACTACACTAGGAAAGACACACCACTGGCGACAATACGACACGTGTTTCGCCTTTACACGAGGCATCCTCAGGTGATATAGACTCTACGGTAGCTAATCGCTAAGTGAGCGGCAAGCCAAAACAACTGCCTTTTATACAGACCGCTGACGCAACCGCTCCCTGCTTAAGGAGCGAGCGACTGCGTCATGCGATAAAACATGCGACCAATCACCGCCGGACTGACGCAGCCGTTTGTAAAATTAAAAACAAACCGCCGCGCAACGCCCGCCTACCCTCCAACCACGCAACCAATCGCCGATCACCGTGAGGGTGACAAACGATCATATTGCGAGAAGAGGTGAGTTAGAAACATTTGTTTGTTCATTCAGCGAAACACGTGTCGTATTGTCGTCAGTGGTATGTCTTTCCTAGTGTAGTGGTGTTGGGAGTAGTGGTTCTGGGATTAGTGGTGACGGGCATAG